CCAAAGCACAACTCCACTAAAGGCACATTTTTCATTGAATTGTGCGTGCATTGCTGATTGCTGAATCATGTGTTGTTGCTTAAGTGTAAATAGGGGCTAAGTGGTGCCTTTTGTCACTCATTGCTTCTTCTTCATAGTAGAACTGAAGACAAAACCTTTTTTTTTTTAGTTTTGGATAGAGTAAGGGAGAGTTATATTTCCTATTTTTTTGCCATCTTTGTCTCATTAGGGAGATTTCCTCTCACTTCCTGTCCTATAGCCACAACAGGAAGTGAGAGGAAATCACTGGTGGTCAGCAGAACCACAACTAGTGTCCTTATTGGAAGATTTTGTTGACCAGGACATTTGTAAGGGGGGAATCTCCCTTACAGGGACACAGATATAGGAATAAAAACCTGACAGGTGTTCTAATCACTCTTCACTATCCAAATCTAAAAAAAATGTTCTGGCTTCAGTTACACTTTATATTTATTTCTTTTGCACTAATTTTACATGTACATATTTTTTTCTAGCACAAGGCACACTATTGCTGTTAGAGCTTTCATCATTTTATATCTAATAGTGTTGACATTCAGAGAATTGATATTAATTACCTTGTGCTGAATATCTGGAAGTGTCTGTCTGTTTGATTAGTTTTCTGTAGGTTATTTCTAGTGTACACAGTCCATAACAAGCAGCTTATCTGAGGTTTACAAACACAGCTTCTTTTGTTACTGTCCCCAGGAGTTAATGAAAGGGTTACCACTTGGAGAGATGTTCATTGTTAGAGATTGTTTACTGTTGGCCTTGACAACATATGTAACTTTGCTAGGCTCTGATATAACTCCTTCTTTCTTCAAATACTTTTTCCATGAAGAAGCAGAGTTTTCTGGAGTGATAAGTTGAAGAAATGGATGAAAGGCATTGGTGGATAGCAGGCAAACTGCAGCAGACATTCCCCACTACAGCACAGGACAGCTCCAAAGCTCTGGAAGCCTTCATATTAGAAGCTAACAATCTGCAGTTTATCAACAGCTTTCTCCAGGGTCTGTATAATATTCAAAATGATTATTCCAAAGACCTGATATTGCTCATGTCATAGCATCTAGGGGATTGAAATAGTATATTAGCTAAGTTCCTTGTTGTACTCTGTGCATCTGTCTGTGGACTTTTGACTTTAAACTGCAGACATTGAAAAAAAATGGATTTACAACGAAATCTTGTTTGGGCTAATAATTTCTAAAATTATAAAATAATAATTGATTTTCATGACTGTAATTATATTTAGCATATTTTAAAAATACACAATCTTTTCTTCAGTGAAGTAACCTACGGCAACTGATAGTTAGTATGCAGTTTACATACAGTATATATATATACATATATATCTATATATACATATATAGATATATATATATTTATTTTAAGAACCAATTTTTATTACTGAAAGTTTTACAAAATTAGATGCCGTACATTAACCATGTTAAATGTACAATTAAAAATGATCAATACAGCAGTAAGGGAGAGCTCTTGAAGAGGGGCACATCAGTCAGTTTCCAGTGTCACACATTGTCGAGAGCATGCTTAATACACTAGCAGATCAGGATATTAGGATCCAACAGAATTGAAATGACTTGTTTCTTGCTACCTAGGGGTAGTGCTAGAAAGAATTTAGCTCCCGTTCACACCCATGGTGTTTCCAGGAGCATATTTCCATGTTATCCTATTGCGCCCATTCACAGCTGAGAGTTGTGCTGATGCTCAATGCTCAGAAAAACTACAGGAGCTCTTTTGGGGCATGATCGCACATTTTCAACAAAAATAGATGGCAATTGGAGTACCTGAAAAATACCCAGAAAATGTGCATTTTCGCACCAAGTAACTATATCCTTCACCTCGTAACTAGTTTTCCATTGGCTAAATCAGAAACACTCAAGCTTGAAAACACATGAAAACGCGTGTAAAAATGTGCAGAAAAAACAGGCAAAAGAATGACCAAACACGCTGACATGCAAGTGTGAATGTAGCCTGAGGGCAGAGAATGAAACAGACTAGCTAAGAATAAGGTTTATATATGTTTTTATCCATACAAACTATGACTGAAATATGTGGCAGTATTATATAAAAATATATGAAAATGGCAGTGCAGGTTCATTCCAGTAGTCAGACAAGGTTTTATGAGGTTGTTGCCTAATTTGGCATTGACATTAATGGCCAGATAATAATACACAAACCCTCTGATTTGGACAACCTAAGTAATTAAAATAGACAGACCTCTCAACAAGGACAATGACACCTGACACCTGCTCATCCTTCAACATGCTGGCCCAACTATGGTCATCTATGCTACATGGCCACATAGGCCTGTTTACCGTTTACCAAGGATAAGGACCTAGAATTCTCCAACAAATTCGACAGTAAATGACTATGAGAACTTCCGGTGCTCACGAATTTTCATTATCATCAACTGTGGATCCTTTGCATGGGCAGATATTTGCCCAGTCTTCATCAAAATGCTCAAATTTGTATATACAACTATTGCCTTATCATACACTAACCAATTTTGTACCCAATGTCATGATGATTTGAGTATAGCTTTTGATAATCAGGTAGTGCATAACAAATAAATGATAACTAACAATCCATCAACTGTAACTCTTTACCTCAACGTGTCCTATCTACTACTCTGCTTGCCTTTAGGCAACCCCTAAAGACTCATCTCTTCAGGGAAGCCTATCCATCCTCAAACTAACCCCTGAACCATCACGTTCTCAAACAATTCATCCCCACACAGCTACTTCTTCATGTATCACTTGCCCCTCCCTTTTAGATTGTAAGCCCTCATGGGCAGGGCCCTCCTAACCATCTTGTCTTGAATTGTATTGTGATTGTAATGTCTTCCTTATATTGTAAAGCGCTGCGCAAACTGTTGGCGCTATATAAATCCTGTATAATAATAATAACAATTAAAATTTGTAGTTTTGGATGAAGAAAACTTCCAGCAGACTGGGACATTTTCCTGCTTCTAGAGTAAAATTAATCTGAAAAAGAGCACATAGATTGTATAGGAAATGTGTCAGTAAGAGTAGTCTGTGTAGTGTTTTGCAGTTCTACCACTTATTACATTTTTGTTGTTCTATTGTAAGCCTTATATAGAACACTAGAATGTCACAGGAAGCTTTGTGTATTTAGATTTGTGTTATTAAGGGTAATACTTTGAGACCAGGTTGGAGATATAGCCCGGGCCAGAGTTGTGGATGGCTTTGTACGCGGTGTTAAATGAGAATACCAATTGCTGCTATTTCTGAAACTACTAATATTGTACTAAAGAATTTCTGTTGTTACTAGATAACCCTGCAACATATATTCAATGGTAAATGTTTCTCTTTTATTTAATTAAGCTGAAGGACAACAGGGCCTCTTCTTTTTGATTGAAGCTCATGATCAAGTAAATCCTTCCACCTGGCAATTTCATCTTAGATCAGATCTACGAAGTCTAGAAAATGTCACCGGGAAGTCATCTTTTCCCACAGTGGTTTACTTTCTTCGGGCAGAGGTAAATACACAGACACAGACCACTTTATAAGCTACTCTGTAAATATTTTAGCGACAAGTATCTGGGGACTGGTACTATTACTTGTGACAAATGATTGACTTGCTTCAAATCTTATACTGAGCTAGGCAGCAGCACAACTAAAAAATAGGGTGGCAAGGACCTAACTTACAATTGAAGGATACCAGCAATTTAAAGTGAGCCTATCATTGAAATTCAGTTTATGTGAATTAAGCCCCTATGTTTTGCACTTTATTATTATTATTATTTGGCTGCCTGGAACATTGTGGGTATTTTATGACATTAGAACTGCTGAGAGTATAAGAAGCAACCAATATGGCTGACCTCAGGTGTGTAAGCTGGCATTAGATGGTCTTGTAGTTACAAGCAATATCAGCTGCAATTAGTTTCTAAAATTGTACATGTAGATTTTATCTATTTGTGAACGTGCCCTTATCCTTCATTCTTCCATGGAAAAGATGTAAGGATTCAAAGTTCTGCACTTGTATGCAGTTTAGGTCAGGTGTGGATTGCAGCAGGTCTCAGTGCACATGCAAGGGAGAGAAGACACTTGTCTTCAGTGTGGTACCTGCCTGCTTATGGCCAGCCTATGATATTATCACACATTGATAACATTATTTACATTAGGCTGATTTTTTTTAATGTGTATATTTAAAAAACCTAAAAAAGACTGGTCTATGAATTTTTATCTTCTTCAAATTTGTATGGTTATTCTGGACATGAGAGTGTCATCCTGAATATAACTCTAGTTTATAAATAGCTTTACAAAGCAGTCCAGGATAGGTGCTTATAGACATGTTAATTGTATCCTGTTTTTCGTCAAAATTCAGTTGCTGCCATCAGGCACAGTTACATAGAAGATAGGGTTGGAAAAAGACAGAGGTCCATTCAGTCCAACCATTGTGTATGTATGAGTGTGTGACAGTTTGATTATTCTAAGGATATACATGCCCTGTATATTGTGCCTATTGAGGAAGGCATCTAGAAGTTTTTAGAAGTTGTCAACACTCCCAGCAGATACCACTACCTGGGGGAGTTCCACATTCTTGCTACTCTAACTGTAAAGAACCCCCTGCGGAAATTCAGATGAAACCTCTACTCCAGCTGCAAATTGTGGCCATGTGTCCTCGCCAGTTACCTTGGTTTGTTACCACTGCTACAGTCATCATTGATTAATTTGTAGATAGAGGACATGTCTCTTCTTAAATGCTTCTTCTCTAAGGTGATTACATGTGATTGACTTAATCATTCATCATTGCTGCAGCCCCCTTTCTAATGTCTTTGCCCTTTGCAGAACTCTTGTTGATTAGTGAAACTCCAAAGTTTCAACTATCTTTCAATAATTATGTTCTACACTAGAACTCGTGTAAAGTTTTGCCTTGCACTCTCTTACTTTTTTTTTTACAAATTATCTTTAATTCAGACAAAACATGACATTGACGCTGCGATGATGGAGAAGGAAATATTTTGTGGAGAAATCAAGGAAAACCCAGTGGAAAGTCTTAAATGCTTGCTGAATGAACTGTGCATACCTTTACTGAGGGCCCAAAAAGACTGGGGTTCCTGCAGCCAGAAGAGTGTCACTCATTTTCTATCAAGTCTGGAGAAATATGTTGCAGCCATTGAAGAAGCTGCTGTTATAAACAACTCAGAAAAGCAACATTTAACAGTAAGAATATACTTTATATAGTTAGTTTACATTTTTGTTTTGTTTGTGATACTACTTTTGTGAATATTTAATGCACAATTTTAATTTTAATTCTGTTTCAGCATGTTTTTATTGTTTTTTTGTTTTTTTTAGAGAACATAGAATCAAGTGGTTAAAATAAAACAACCAGTAAGGCTCCATTCACACTGGCGCAGCTGCCCGTGCCTATTCGGCTGTATGGATATATATGCGGAGCCGCTCTAAACAGAGAAAACAATGCACTTTAATGTGCATTGTTCAGACTATTGCGGGGACTGTGTGGTACAAAACCGCACGGCCCGCAAAATAGTACAATCGTGATAATCCAGCAGATTATGCACATTTTCGGCTATTTATTAGCCGCAAACGAGCGGCATCCATGCGTATTAAAAATGTTAGCATTTTCAGCCCACACGGAAAACTGTGCGGGAAATGCAAACACTATATGTGTATGGAGCCTAACTTGGAGGAGTGAAAAATAGGTGTGTAGGGGGTTTATGTGCAGACTGCGTTTCAAACAGGTCCATGGAGAAGTAAGGTTGGGTAGGCAGGTATGATAAGGTGGGGGTGTTGAGATTCTGTTCTAGAATGGAGTGTGGTAGGGTAGTATAAATATTGTAAATATTCTAAACATGACAGAATATTTGTTGCTGGATATAGAAACAAATGATGCAGCAGCAGTAAAAGTTACATAATTGTGAACTTTGGAACATGAATTTCCCCATGTCCAGGTCTGAATTGAAGATCCTTATATCTAAGAACATGTTTTTATATTTGTTAGGGTGTTATATTTCTCCTGTTATACTAAAGCCTAGATGGTTTTGATGGTTTAAGGGCTGTGTGGGAACTAGGTTCTTTATCTTTCCCCACTATATTAATTGCATATACCAATTGCTGCAATTCTTCCTTTTCTCCTTGACTGTGAGCATCAAACCCTTACCACAGAGATCCTAATGGAACTATGATTGTTACCCTTCTTGATCTTGACCTAAAAAGGGTACGCATGGCATGAATCCTTATGAACCTGCTGTCGCCACCCTTCCGCCTGGCATCCCTTAATCAGCTGATCGAAGGAGCAGGTTGGAAACTTCTTGGCCAAATGAAGCTGGCAGCCAGTCAGCTGCTAGCTCCGTACGGGTATTATGACATTGGCCAGCAGCTGCTGTTGGAATTCAATGCAAACAGCAGGGGATTCATCGATCAACACTTGCAAGCATTGATGGAAAAATCTGTTCTATTTTTCCATTTAGCCCATGAGTTAAACACAGAAAGGAAAGAGAAAGATGGGCTTTATAGGTGACTCATAAACAATGCGGTTAGACATAATATCACATAACTCATTCTTGTATAGTAAAATTCATATTTAATAACATAATTCCATAATTAACAAAAAATGGCATATACAGGACATACCACACATCTAAAAACAGGACCATTCAACATATAAGCAGCATGTCACCTCTAGGAATCCGTACAGATTGATATTGTGCAAAATAGCAATAATTAACACTCTTGATTTATTGTAAATTCATAATAAATTAGATCAGTCAATATATAATTTTTAAGATCAGTCAACAAATTAATGATATATAAATTCATATTGTTAAATGTTCCAATCAAAAATCTGTACGTTTTCATTCTTCGACGCGTTTCGCCGTAGCTTTTTCAAGAAGTTTATAGAGGTGGCCTATCAAATCCATATGAGTATTGTAGTAAGCACTCAAATAATTGAAAATAGCAGTTTTGCCATACATAACATTAGCTGACATAAATCAATGAATGAGATAAATACATAAATACCATGTATAAAAATTCCTGGGGACGAGCAGATTCACATCTAGGGGAGTCCCTCCACTTCTCCAGGAGAAGAGAACCAGGGATAACTCATGGGCTGTATGGAGGAGGAGGTATCTCTATCTGTCCTTGTGCGACCTACAAGATTGAATTATAAACCAAGGCTTGCCTATATATAACTTCAGTAATTACAATGTATTGCATCTAGCATTGCAAAGCCACCTAAATATAAGATACAATGGAACAGCTTCTCTGAGCCTTACTGAATCAGTGGTATGATGTATCCAAACTGAGGTTCGATACAATTGGCCTTCACAATAGGTACAGTTGTGTCCATAAGTAGCAACCACACCCGTCAATGTGTCTCATCCAGATACCATCTCTGTCACTTACAACCCTTCATTGAAGTATAATAGAATTGTATATAAAAATTATCAAGAATCATCCTTATTAGTATCAACGTTTAAAATAAATGGTTATTCCATTCAGAAAATCAACCCAAGAGAAAGTGACCAGATATAGTAGATAAGAAGCACTGAATATATCCCATGACGTGATTAGGGTACCTTGTGACTTGTTCAAGCTCCTCAAGTGTCCAGGACCCACCTCTACCATTCTCCATGTCCCGAGTCTCCCTTGCTCTAGATGTTACCCACCGCAGACACACACGCCGCCTCAATCAGTCGGCGTGTAATGTCTGCGGCCGGGGCGGGCACTTGGTCCACACCTGCGCTCTATAAGAGCGCCTCCGAGAAATGGGAGCGCCCCAGCTGTTGCTGGGCCACACACCCCGGGGGCCGTCAGCCCAATGGAGTGGCGCCAAAGTTAGCGCGCCGTCCCATCTCACGCCGAAAGAGGCCGCGCCCTCCCCCCATCAGCGCGTTAACCGAACTGTCAGTACCGGGACAACGGCATCAGCATAACCTCAAGGATCAATCAATATCGATCAGAGATGAAGGGATGCTGAGGTGCAGACCAACCCCAATGTTGTATACAGGGGATCGGCCCGCTAAATCAATCCTGGATGAGATGGATAGTATCCCCCATGCGCGAACTCAAGCCCCATGACAAAATATCTTGTTTAGCCATATTACATACATCAATTGTAAAACAATAATATTGAACATACAGTGTATAATGGTAAAATAATACTAAACAACAACAGGGTCCTATCATCAAGGTAAAATACCATCTAAATAATAAGTATTAATAAATGGTGCTGTGGTGCTGTGGTGCGATAAGGTGCTGGTAGCAATAAAAGTGTAATTGAGTGCTGTTTGAACAATTGATTATTTATTGTGTAAACATTAGACATCTAGGTGCTCCTTGGAATCATGTGATGTGAGGTGAATAGGGTGAATAGTGTAAAACCTACATCTCCCACTCCTTCCCCATATGAATATGTGATGTGATGGGATTGTACCCATAGTAACCCCTCCCTCCCCACCCCCCCCACGCCTC